TAGAAAGGTGTGAGTCTGTTTTTCTGGCCAGAGACAGAAAGGTGCAAAAGGTGGCTACTTTGAAGAACCTAGAATATAAGACATATTTTCAGTTGTTTCACAATTTTTTGTTAGCCATATAATTCCACACGTATCAATTCATAGTTTTGATGCCCTCAGTGTGAATCTACAATTTTCATAGTCATGAAAATAAAGAGAACTCTTTGAATGATAAGGTGTCTCCAAACTTTTGGTCTGTACTGCATATAGTCAACTCTAAAAGGGATCTTTTCCAAAAATATGAGGGACATACTCACTTTTGTCCAATACTGTACACCTGATTGGGTTGCTGAAGCTGGGTGTTTAAACAGGCTAATAATCCTCAACAGCCTTACAGTGTACCTTACCATTAGAAAAGCACTCGGAGTGAGCGCAGACCTCCGCCAAGCAGCAAATTTTGCCCCATATTGTGACTTACACCCACAGATAAGACTTGCATATATTGTCGATCATTACTTAATTTAAATGAATTGTTCCTTCATGCGAATCATTCCAAAGATACACCTCATTGCACCTTTCCTTAAAATCCTTTCCTAATTTTATAAACAAGGCACAACATACCTGCAGCCTCTGGTGTTTGTTCTGCTCTCACCTTCTTCGTTCACTCTGTACTCTGATTTCAAGTTTGGTTAACAGATATAGACTTCACGTGAGGCATGGCTCACCTTTCCTGTATTTTTGTCCACAGTATAACAGCCTACTTCTGGGCTTTTTTGAGTCTGATGCTGAACCTGTCAATTGTAACTGCTGCTACTTATGTTATGGTTTACTTTAAAAAGAAATCCAGCATCTGTTTTATGATGTGGATAATCACCAAAATAGAAAGAGTTGTTTCCTTAGAATGTGGTGCACCTTTGGTAAAAATTTCATAAAATCCGTTCATAACTTTTCAAGTTATCCTGTACACTGACGGATAAACAAACCAACAAACACACACATAAACACAACTAAAAACATAATGTCCTTGGCAGACGTAATAATTCTGCAAAGAGGAGGTAAAAAAAATCTTCCACCGCTATGGTACAGACTCATTGCCAGATATCACAAATGCTGTTTGGTTTGACAAACCAGGCAAATTTTTATTTGACTTGGTGAATGAGTTAAAAAGAGAGTATCTTTTCGACTTGGCTTTGGAAAAATTCAGATTTTGGGTTACACACAGACCGTTACACACACACTGACACAATAACCACAAAATAGTCTCCAGGAGTTAGGAAATGACTTCAGAAACATTCTGCAGTGGCAAGTAGAAAAGCAATGCAGTTAGTTTTCTCCCTCACTCCTTGCATGCCGGAGCTATCAGCTGTTGGGGTGAGACCCAGCTGCTTGTGTGTTGGCTTAAGAGTGATATCCATCTGCATTTGCCACATGAATGAAGGACAGACTGCTATTCCTGAAAAAAGGAATAATTAAAGGCTATGTTAGGATGCTGGCAATGCTTCAAATAAGATAATCACTGAATTCATCAGGTATACTTTCATGATTTCATCAGATAAGATACTATATTAATCACTTCCTTTACTGTTAAGATAAAAGAAATATTGTAGGAGAATATTTTTTATCATCTAAGATTTGATATATTAGATAGGCCCCTAGCTACAAGGACAGTATGGCTCATCATCTGCTTTGATTTTATATTTTTATAGGTTTATACTTACACTTAAGAGGTCTAAATTTACCTAGCAAGTAATCTGTGCGTGCCAGGAGTCTATGCAGCCTATGCTATCTGAGGTTTGTTCCTCAAACTGGCCTTGGCGCTTTTCTTCAGGCCCCTTGGGGCATTTGAAACAGTTCACTGCAGATCTGGAAACAGTTTATTCCTGAGAGCAATGGCTGTTAAGAAAAAACGGCTGTCCTTAATCCGAGTGACCCCTTCTGTGGATGTTCTAAATGGATGTTGGTTAAAGGATCCTTTAAAATCCGGTGGATAGACCCTAAGTGCAGCCTGTAACTGATACTGTTATGTTTGTAAAGAGTTGAAGAGAATACATACTTGTGTTTGCTTTCTCCTTAACTCCGTGTGTATTCTCCCTTCAGCCACGTGTGAGAGGAATGCCAGGCTCTGAAATATGGCTTTCATTAAGAAACAGGCCTTTCGTCTTCAACAAGGAAGCCTGAAGATCAGTATCTAAAAGGTGAAGACTGCAACACTCCCTGAAGTGCTCAGGTTGTCTGCAGAGAAGTTCTTAGTTGTGAAAAATATGATAATTGGTGCAGGTTGATTTGGAGTTGAGCCTTAGAGGCATTAAGAGTTGCTTAAAATAGTGGGATTTATAGCTGTTAAAGGTAAGTTGTTGCTATTTATGCAACAGTCATTCGTTCCGGATGTCCAGTTCTTATAATGGGCATCAGTGTCTGGTTTGTGTATTGTCTGTTTTTGTTGAGCATAACAGTTGATAATAATGTGTTTTTATGTAAAGGAATATTATTCAGGGTATTATGATTATTTGACCTTAAACAAGCAAAGCTGTAGGATGCAGTCTGCTGTGCTCTATGCCACTGGTTTTATATATTACAACCAGATCTTAAAGCAGGTAATCAGGCCAAGTTCCGCACAACCACTGTGTTTGTTTCATATTGATCCACTGATTTTCTTTTTTAGAAAAGTCTAGACTCTAGGGGATTGTTGGGATATTTGTTAGAAAATGTGAGGCAGCCCTTTGTGTTTTTTCCTTTTTTGTTGATTGTTCTTTTTTTGTTCTTTTTATTTATTTCTTTGTTCAGCAGCATTTCCTAGCAATATCCCATGAATAAAATGTTTACCTGGTCTGTATTAAATAGTTAAATCTCACACACACAAACATCAAAACTGGTAGAAAACAATTGAAATGTCAAAGATACAGTTTTTGCGAGATTCATTTAGCCTTCTTGCTAAAATCATATATTGCACAGGAGTCTCTACTTTGTAAATGTAGTTATTGATGTGTCTTTTGTTTTGTTTTTTGGATTATTAGCTATGTCTTTTTGAAGTGAAGAAGGCAATATGTTTCTGGAAGTGGTATTTTAGTGGGTAAAAATCATTTAAGTGTAAAAATTGCTGGTTATTTTTATGAGTTGGACTGAAACGCCAGAGGTTCCTATTGAGAAACATCTGAAAGAATATATACTAAAGGATTTAAAAGATCCTGCTAAATGGTCTTCACTACAGTTCTGTGATTTTTCATTTGTCTGAGCCTTTTGTCTCCTCTCCAGCTAATGGTCATTTCTTATGTTAAGCGGGGCCTGTTGTGTTAATGGAAGCTAACCTGCAGCCTAGCTTCCCAGGGGATCCTCTCTCCCTACTGTCTCTCTTATACCTTGAATCGGTTTATTCAGGAAACTGAACTATTTCACATGGAAATTCTGCCAGAACACCAGAAAGTCAGGCTGCTAATTACACCAATGTTGAATGGATGACTTGCTGACATCACAACATGCAGAGAGAGGAGGAATGAGAGGGGAGGTTGTGTGAAGTCAACAGGAGTCCAGAGTCAGACAGGAAGTCTACCAAGTACCCTTCAAAATAAAGCTCTGTTCAATAAAGTCAAAGTAAAATCAATCGAATGAGATAAAGTATAAGAAGATATATGATTAGTAAAATATGTAATAAAGGCCTGCAGTAATTTTAATATCTTCAGCTTGATAACTGCTTTTGTTCAGTTATCATAGAATGTCTCATTCTTCACTGTGCAGTTTTAATGATACAAACAGAACCAACTGTGTTTTTTTTGTTTTGTTTTTTTACTGCATTCTTATTCATTTTACATTGGCATAGTTAAAGTAAAAATATAAAAATCTGTGTCATTACTATAAGCATTGTTTCATTGAATTCTTCCATGCATGGCATACCTCTGCAGATGAAGTGAAAAAAGTTTTTACAGCATGATTGTTGTTGGCAGCCCATTGCTGGGGAAAAAATGTTATGTAAGCAAGGGGGAAAATGCCCAGTTGTCATACTTGAGTCATCTAAGCAGCTAGTGCACAGTAACAGGTTGGGAAACAGGACGGGTAACTCAGCATTACTCTCCCTGGAAGCTAAGAACATGGCTTTAGACCGGAGGTCTTCAACAGGTTGTCCGCAACCCCTAGGGCGTCCACTAAGGTACTGCATGGGGGTCGTGAAAATTTTGGTTGATTAGACTGTTTTTTTTTTTTATATTCCCCCCTGCAATTTTTTCCACTAATTGAAATGTCTTTATATTCACTTTAACATGAATTCAACACACTGCAGTAAACAGTTAAATGGAGGCAGAAGATGTCTTTCACTCATCAATGCACACATTCAGCGACACACAGGAGCTCTTTCAAGCTGGGCACCGTTTCATTCACAACACCTGTCCCATCAACCAGGAATCTGAATCAGAAATACTTTAATAATCCCAGGGTGAAATAACTTTTGCTACATTACACCATCTGTAATAGAGTGACTATAGGACCTGTTTGATATAACACAATTTCATACAATATATATAATTAAGGGGTCCCGGCTCCATCTCGTCATCAATTTGGGGGTCCTTGGCCTGGAAAAGTTTAAAGACCCTTGGTTTGGACAGTTTGAATGAAAATTGAAGGGATTTTGAAAGAGTAACTTTGGAATATCTTCATAGGAGTAACCCAGGCTAAAACAAATAAAATAATGTCAGTAAGTTGTAAAAAACTGGTGTAGCCTCGGGGTCCCCCAAGAGCAGCTGGAGGAGGTGTGTGTGGATCAGGAAGTCTCGGCATCTCTGCTTAGACTGCTGCCGCTGCAACAGGGCCCCAGATAAAGAGGAAGAAAATGGATGGATGGATGGATGGATGGATGGATGGATGGATGGATGGATGGATGGATGGATGGATGGATGGATGGAAATAATAAAGCAGCTAAGTTGCTCTTTGTTGGTTTTAGTCTCAGACTTTCTTTATTCTGAAAGGGCAGTCGGAAGTGGTTTCGTCACTCTTGTTGCTTTGACACCATCTTAATAAGCGTACTTGGTTTAAAGCGCTCCTGCTGCTCCGTGGCTTGTTCTGCTAATAGAAGCAGGGCTCTGCTGGATTTCCCTGAGCTTTCGGACAATCCGCCCGGATATTCTCTGAGCAAAAGCGTCTTTTTAAATACGAGGAGTTTCCATTTAGGAGGCGGAATTTATTTCTGCTGGAATTTGCGCTGTTCTTTGAGCTTTTGGTCAACACTTTTAGGAACTTGTTAACGATATTTTTTTGGTTGTGGGGCGAGACGGGTTGACCTGAGTATTTGTGCAGAGAGCGAAGGGAGGAGGTGTTGACAAAAGGCGACTTTTATCCCGTCCCTTCTCGGGACGGCGGGATAGATGCGGCAGAGGATCGCAGAGCGAGTGACGCTGCTGCGCCTTCGTGGCACGGCTGCTGAGCTGGAGAGGTGCGACGCATTCTACCATGAGGAGCGTTTGTTTTAGATCCAAGCCAAGCAGTCCGCTCCGGGCTATGGGTTTAGTCCGTCTCAGTTTATAGGAAGGTAAGCCGAAAAATTCGCTTTCACTTGTTTTATTTTCCAGCAATTCAAATGTAACTCTACACCCATTTCCTCCAAGTGCGTAAAAGCGCACAGATTGCCTAAAATATGTCATCTAAACGTTTTTATTGCACCAGTTCAAGTTTTTTTTTTGTTCGATTTGTATTGTTTTTATTAATTTTACTAATCAAAACTATATGTATTGTATTAATTTCACTTATTTTAACCAGCATTTTACCAACACCTGCAGCAACATTGTGGCTTTCACTCTGTGGACGTGTACCCACCAGTGGTAATCCCCCCACCCCCTGCAGCGCGGTGGTCAGCTTCATGTGTGCTGTGAAGCGTGTGTTTGCCCCCTGCGCCATATGGATTGAACTATAAAACTCATTTAACGCTAAATGATCTGATTTTTCATCACTATGTTGATATTGCTGAAGGCTGTAGTTAGAAGCAACTTCTAAGGGTTGAACCAGAGGAACAGTAAAAGTAGTGTAGACCCTTTAACTGCTAATTGAACAGAGAAGGTGGTTTACATATTAGATACTGTTTAGCAGCAGAGAGGGACACTTCATTAGCAATTGAATGGACTGAAAGGCCAAATAATGACTAATGTGTTTAGGAGCTGAAGTTGCAGTTTCACTGATCTGAGAGCAGCAAACTGACAGCAGCCTAAATACTTAAGTTAATACTGTTTATCAGATTACTTTCTAAATAATAAAATAGAAAGTGAGCGAAAATATCCATATTTAAATATGTGCAATTTTTATACAGTGGCTGCATTTATGAAAATATGTTAAATAAATAATAGAATCAATTTTATTGTCTACTTAAAAAGCGTTTCTGTTTTGTTCTTTGGTGAGCAATACTTCATTGTGTACAGGCTGGCATAGAAGTGAAAAACTCAACATGCAATGTGCCAGGCAGCTGGGTAGACTGCTAGTTGTGCCAACATGGTGTGGGTTAAAGTCCTAAAAAAATGCTGCTGCAATTGGGAAAAAATGTCAATTATAAGCTGTAAGTTTCTTGTAGTGGAATTTTCCCATCTCTAGTGTTGTAGTTGTAGCTGATTCATTTAACATGATGACCAAAACTCAGCCGTTTTGTTTGGAATTGCACTGTAGTGGCCTTTGCACAATATCCATGCCTGCAAATTTCAAAATAAAGCTCTACCATTTCCACTGTAATAAAGGATATTATTATAATAGTAATTAATATACTGACAGGGGAAAGGCTTGATTTAACCTTTGGAAATTGATTCTATATCACTGCTGGTCATAACCCTTACACACAACCCTGATACACTTTCAAAATAAGACACCAGGGACTCTACAAAAGAAAAGTCTATTCTTTATACACACTAATTCAGTACAGATATGGCTCATAGCTAAGACCCACGCTCAACCAGGACACTGGTGGTCTTGAAATTAGACCACCAGTGTCCTGGTAGACTAAAATGTCCTGATAATCAATGAATATTAAAATCATCTTTAGCAACTTTAGCACAGCAGGTTACTCTACTAAAAAAGCAGGCTCCTTGTGTTATCCCAGGTGACATTTTCTGTCCTTTTCCTTTGAGATTCCCATTGGCTTTTAGCAATTAGAAAATCCAGCATGTTCCATGTTATATAATAGGCAAGTGAGTTACATTTCTAAATGGTGCAACTTTATTGTGATATGTTTAGCATTCCCATTATCTGCTAAAAGCTTTGCTCTTTTGAGGTCTCTCAGCATCAGTGTGCTACAGACATGTCTTGATGTATCACAGAAAATGGTTAACCCAAATCTGTTTTAATTATAGCACCTTATTGATACTGACGCTAGCAAACCTTGAGTCTCTTTCACTCAGTCACAACTTCAACACCAAAGTGTCACCACTCTTTGCTGGTGCTTAATCACAAAAGGCCTGGTCTGGGCTAGTTTCGTAAGGATTCCTAAGCTGGATTCCTAATCCCTATCTTTGCCCCATTATGTCCACATCCTATTTTACATTAGGTTTTCTTTGGGACAAACGTTGAATGAGTATGAAATCTTAACATATTTATGCAACACTGTCATTGATGACTCCAAAGGGGACATACAGGTGCTGGTCATAAAATTAAAATATCATGAAAAAGTGGATTGATTTCAGTAATTCCATTTAAAAAGTGAAACTTGTATATTATATTCATACATTACATACAAACTCATATATTTCAGATGTTTATTTTGTGTAATTTTGATGATTACAAATGACAACAAATGAAAATCTCAAATTCATCATATCAGAAAATTAGAATATTGTGAAAAGGTTCAAAATTGATGGCCCCTGGTGCCACACTCTAATCAGCTAATTAACTCAAACCACCTGCAAAAGCCTTTAAATGGTCTTTCAGTCTAGTTCTATAGGCTACACAATCATGGGGAAGACTGCTGACTTGACAGTTGTCCAAAAGACGACCATCGACACCTTGCACAAGGAGGGCAAGACACAAAAGGTCATCGCTAAAGAGGCTGGCTGTTCACAGAGCTCAGTGTCCAAGCACATTAATAGAGAGGCGAAGGGAAGGAAAAGATGTGGTCGAAAAAAGTGTACAAGCAAGAAAGATAACCGCACCCTGGAGAGGATTGTGAAACAAAACCCATTCAAAAATGTGGGGGAGATTCACAAAGAGTGGACTGCAGCTGGAGTGAGTGCTTCAAGAACCACCACACACAGAGGTATGAAAGACATGGGTTTCTGCTGTCGCATTCCTTGTGTCAAGCCACTCTTGAACCACAGACAGCGTCAGAAGCGTCTTGCCTGGGCTAAAGAGAAACAGGACTGGACTGCTGGTGAGTGGTCCAAAGTCATGTTCTCTGATGAAAGTAAATTTTGCATTTCCTTTGGAAATCAAGGTCCCAGAGTCTGGAGGAAAAGAAGAGAGGCACTTCATCCACGTTGCTTGAAGTCCAGTGTAAAGTTTCCACAGTCAGTGATGGTTTGGGGTGCCATGTCATCTGCTGGTGTTGGTCCATTGTGTTTTCTGAGGTCCAGGGTCAACGCAGCCACATACCAGGAAGTTTTAGAGCACTTCATGCTTCCTGCAGCTGACCAACTTTTTGGAGATGCAGATTTCATTTTCCAACAGGACTTGGCACCTGCACACAGTGCCAACGCTACCAGTACCTGGTTGAAGGACCATGGTATCCCTGTTCTTAATTGGCCAGCAAACTCTCCTGACCTTAACCCCATAGAAAATCTATGGGGTATTGTGAAGAAGAAGATGCAATACACCAGACCCAACAATTCAGAAGAGCTAAAAGCCACTATTAGAGCAACCTGGGCTATCATAACACCTGAGCAGTGCCACAGACTGATCGACTCCATGCCACGCCGCATTGCTGCAGTAATACAGGCCAAAGGAGGCCCAACTAAATACTGAGTGCTGTACATGCTCATACTTTTCATGTTCATACTTTTCAGTTGGCCAACATTTCTATAAATCCTTTGTTTTTATTGGTCTTCAGTAATATTCTAATTTTCTGATATGATGAATTTGAGATTTTCATTTGTTGTCATTTGTAATCATCAAAATTAAACAAAATAAACATCTGAAATATATGAGTTTGTATGTAATGTATGAATATAATATACAAGTTTCACTTTTTAAATGGAATTACTGAAATCAATCTACTTTTTCATGATATTCTAATTTTATGACCAGCACCTGTATGTATTTGAGATTTTCCTTCATCTGTGACTGTGCCACCTGTTTTAATATGACCCAGAAGTGTCTGATAAAGAGGCAGGACATCTGCTCTGTACAGTAAAACTGGTTTTAAACATGTTGAAGCAGGTTAAATCTCTACTCTCAGCAACATATCGCATTAGGTTCTTAGCTTTCAAAAAAGAAAAAAAAAATCATCTTTGTCAGGAATATCTCCCATGTTTACTGTTGATTAATTCTAATGACTCTCAAGTCATAATTTATAATTTTGAATTTTATCAACTGTTATGTTTGTTATGAAACTTTGAAATTTCATAACAAAAGACAGTTGAAAATTCCCCTCATTTATCCCCTTTATAGACTAAAGAGGTGGTTAAAGGTTTGTTCAGGAAAAAAAAACTAATAATCACAAGACTTTGTTGCCCTCTGCACACAGCTGCTCTCTTCCCTGTTTTTCTAGTTTCTAAAGAGTGGTCTAGTTTCTAGTTTCTTAAGAATGGATTTTAGTCTGGTGCTTTACATTGATGCCACAGAAAAGCTGCAGTGGTTTTAGGAGAGCGTAATGAGTGTTTTCCTTCAAGCCATCCAAAGCAATAGTTGGGGATACATTTAAATTAGAGCTGCACAATAAATCAAATCCCAGTGGTTATTGCAGTATCAATGCTGTAATCCCAAAGAGCTGCGGGGATGCAGTCTTTGGAATACTATGTTTTAGGTGCTTTGTCTGCAAATTCTAGATGCAAAAAAACACTTTTGATCTATTAGATGGATTTACCCCTTAGTGTTCAATTTAAAGCAGTTTGTTTGTAGCCGAAATGCCAAAGAGTAATTGGGACATTGTGCTGAAACTAAAAGATGAAAACCTTTTTTGGAATCTGTATAATTGTTGCCTATGTTGCCTAGCATCATGATATTATTGACCAATATTGTTACTGTTATTTTCTTGTACTGGTATCAACTGAATCATTCATGCTTTTGCCAATTCTTTAGGTCATTTAACAGACATATCCGATCCTGCCATTGCTATGATTGTTGACGTTTTGTTTGATTTGTTTGTTTAATTTTTTTAAATTTAAAATGTGACATGTAAACTGTGTTGTCATTGTGTCATTTTCACCATTATTAGCCAAGAATTAGCGCCCCCAAAAAACTCAGAAACACATGTCAGTCGTCAGTTAATAATTGGAATCGGCGTTGGCTTTATTAAAAACCTGTATCAATCGATCTCCATTTGTGAGTCTAGAACTGTAGTTGAAGATATAATTTTTGAAACATGGCTGGGGAAAGAGAAGAAATCTTTTTCCACCATGCAACTGGAAGTTTGTTGCAATGGGCGGGGGCAACACTGCTATACTGGGCTGTATATAGCTTAAGAAAACTTCCTCACTCTGCTATGTTCTGTGTAATTCACAGAATTATATTGAGGTTTTTTTTTTAAAGCCACTATCTTTTAAAGCCTTGTTTTTCAATTAAGTTCAAAACCTATGCATAAATCACAATTTAAATTTAAATAAAAGATGACATACATTAAAACAGTCTTAACATAATTGACTTGACGCTGATAGTAATATTACTGGATTGATTGACCTGTGGTGTTACATTGATTCCAATTTGAATGAACAACTTTGCTGTATGCCAGCCGCTTTGACCTATTAAAAAAAGTTCTTTGAAGATAATGCTGCAGACACCGAAAACAACTTTGATATATCTGACAGATGAAGAATTGTCCATTAAAAATATCCAGAACCTTGGTAACATGGCTAAAGTTGCAGAACAGGATGAAGATGATTAACTGGAAACTGTGAATCATTGTCCACTGACATCATGGTCACAGTGACTGCCATCTAAAAACATACCCCCCGAATACTTAAGTAAACCTCACACTCGAGCTGACCAATAATGTGCCAGCATTTATAAGTCCCTCTGGGATAAAAATTGACCAGCAGCATTTAAAAATGGAAACGGGCCCCCTAACTTCCTTGTCTGTACCTCGGAATCGTTTATGAGGCATTCGTGATGTACTTGGCTGGTATTTCCAAAACCACTAAATCTGATCTAATTGAAATCATGCAGCCTGCACTGTGGAGTTCACAGATTGGGTTTCAGCTGTGTGGGGATTCCTAGCAGATCCATAAAGCTGGATGTAAATCACAGGGAAAGGAGAAACAGGCCCTGTAGGTTAAAAGCATCTACTTCTGAAGTGATAATAGATAAAGATGTTTAGGTGAATCACTGAGGGGGGGGTTGGTCTCAGCTCACATCTGGAAAGAGAGAGGGGGGTCAGAGAGGGAGAGCTTCTTTAAACAATTATAAGACCTTCCTGACTGACTTCCAAATATACCGTTTGAAGCAAGTGTATGACAGCGTTGTGAAATGGTTTCCTTTATATCAGCTTGGGTCTAATTTTAAGGGAGGTGTATCCTTGATATTACGGAAAGCATGAAAGCAGGCGACAGTGGCGTCTGGTGCAGGAGTTTGCTCTGCAATCGGAGGGTTCGAGCCCCGACTCTGGGTTTCAGTGTCGTTGTGTTCTTGGGCCAGACACTTCACCTGAATTGCCTACTGATGGTGGTCAGATGACCCGGTGGCGCCAGTGTACGGCAGCCTTGCTTCTGTCAGTGATTGTATTCTGTCTTTATACTGTTCTGTCTGCTTGGGCTGTGTGTGTGAATGGGGTGTGGGTGAATGACTGAATGAATGTAGTTTAAAGCGCTTTGGTCAAGTCTCCTGACTTGAAAAAAGAGCTATATCATTGCATTTACCATTTACTCTGATTCAGAAGATTGGAGCAGAGGACCATGTTTTACCCTTTCCTTATGTGTTGTCAATACAGATCATGAGTTAAATCAATGCAACCTGTCTGGCTGACGAAAACTAACCCAGTGGGATGATATCAATACTTTTTTCGGGGTGGGGGGCAACTAGAAATTAAGAACCCTTTTTTTTGTCGTTTTTTTACAAATGCAGTAAAGGTTTTACAAACTTTAATGAAACTTTACAGCCCAGGATTGACCCCTTTAAATGTAGCTGTGCATGAATGGTGCCTCTCTCTAGTGGTCATTGGAGTAGGGTCGGGACACGCCTTTGACAGGTTGCCAGGCTATATTTGGGCACCACAGATATGCACAGAACAAACAAGCATGCATGCATGTGCTCACTCCTATGATTATAAGGAGCAAATTAATAAAAAAAAGAACCCTTTACCTTCGAGTCATTAGTAGGCATTGATTGAGATTCTTCAAAACCATTGCAGTGGTTTTAAATGTTTTTAAACAAAAGCAAGAGAAGTGGCTTTCTATGGCTATGGTAAGGTTGCACTGCTCTCATTTAATGCTGTGCACTGCAAGCCAGCTAGCTGCAAGGAGACCAGTTTCCAGTTATTTAATGTATGGATTAAAAATGTCACTGTTTAGAGTTGAAAGCATTGTGTACAGGGAGTGACCTTTAGTTGACCTCTCTCTCTCTCTCTGATTTTATAGCAGCCTAAAGTTAAAAAGGTCAGTTCTGTCCAGGGATCAAAGAAAAAACAACATGCTGGCATTTTACAAATTTCTTTTAGCACATGTCCACTAGTACTGAATCAGTTAAGCTTTTCTTTTTGTTTACCAGATAAAGCAACATTCAGATTTAACAACTGCAATCCTGTTGGCAGATCCACTCCATTTAGATATACCTCTAGCTACGTTATCACCCCTATAAGTTATAGGGTCCCTCCTTATCGATTAGCTGCTAACACCTAATAAAGTTTTAGGGGATCTTCTGTGATAAGATCGGCGAGTTTTCCTGTCTATTGCTCTAGGTTGGTTCAGATTTACTCCACCCTCCCTCCCAGTGTGCCTGATTGACTTTATCTTTTGTATCACAGTTGGATCATCAGTATTCATTGTAGAAACATCTGGGAATTTGGGATCATTTATTAATATGTATGGATTCTGTTTGTGAAGTGTTTGCCTTGCCCTTCCACAATGAAAGCAGAAGTATCAGAGGTCTGCGTATCTCCTCAAGGAGCTGACGAAGCTACTTGGGCTTTTGGCAGATGGGCAGGAATCTTAAGTGATGATGAAGGTCGTCTCTGACTTAAAAATTAGTTCCAGTTATCCTCTGGATTGTTAAATTGCCTTCGAACAATCAGGGCATGAAATTATGATATAAAAATAATATTTGAAAAGAAAATAAATATATAGATGTCAATTAAATAACTTTTTTTGTTGTTGTTTTTTTAAAAGTTGTACATTTATTTTATTTTCTAAGGCTGCAACAAACAGAACAAATAAATTAATAAACCAAAATAAAAAAATCCCCTTTAACTTATAATCGGCATCATTTAAAATATCTAAGTTACTAGTTTCTTTAAGAATTTATCTACTGAATTTTAGAACCATTGAAAGCTAAGGCATTAACAATTGCGCTGTGACTAAAGCATGTCATTACATTCTCATAATACAATCAACCATGTTCACTAATTGGTTCAGTTGATAATGGCTTGAGGACTTAGCCACTTTGCTGTCTACTTTTACATGTATAAGTGTGTGCACTGTGCAACGGAGCCTCACTTAGTTGTGGAATCAACATTGTCCTGGATGTCCTTAAGCTGCTCGTAGAGCTGACTGTCAGACAAGGCATCCATCTGGGAAGGTAATGAGATTCTGTCGTCTTGGTTTAGCTGCCTGAGGGGGTTACGGGTTAGTGGGATGCAAACTTTTGGCCACCCAGTTTCCATATTCTGCGTCTGTCAAGGACTCACAAATCCGTATGCATACATGGATTCCTTAGTTTGTCTTCAAATACAGATTGGGTGGATTAAGAGAAAATATAGAACGACTCCACCCAATGAAGTATTTAATTCACAGCTTTTGTGTTTTATGGTATCTATGCATCTCTGCTGTTTTTTAGCACGGCCTTTATTTTTTATTTTATTATTATTTTTATTTTTTTTGGTGGGGGGGGGGCAGTCTTGATCTCAGAAGGTTTGATAGAAATTATCTAAAGCTAAAAGCTAAAACCTTTCCCTCTTTTAAACTTTTCAATACAAACATGTGTACTAATGTTGTGTTCTGGTAAGACATTTGGAAGTGTTTCATACGAGCATTTGCGCAGCATGCTGTGAACATTTTGTTACTTGCCAAGTTCTGTTTTCTATCACTGTCACTGCTTGTATTGTGTTCAGCTATTTTTTACAGCTTGTTTTAGCCCTTCGTGTGCACTAACAGCACTCTGTTTGTGCATCTGCTGTTTTACTGGGAGTTAAAATCATTGTTGAAGCATTTCAATATGGTTTAAACTGAATAGATCCAAGTGGTAGCAGTAGAATTCACTTTTCTTGAGATACTAACACTCACCTTAGTACACTTACCTTTACTGTCAAGCCACAAATCATTTTTTGTTTTGTAAATTGACTTCCTTAATTTGTATACATAAAAATACCTGATTAAATACACATTTACAACATGCATGCCAAGACATGGGAGTCACGTAACTTCTCTTTCTGTTTGTGTCTGTCGTATGGCAGGAAGATCTGTGTACACTGCAAGTGTCGTCGTGAAGAGCATGCTGTGACAGCCATGCCGGTGGAAATGGAGAAGACGGTCACCAAGCTGATGTATGATTTCCAGAGGAACTCGACCTCGGACGATGACTCGGGTTGTGCGCTGGAGGAGTACGCTTGGGTGCCACTGGGACTCAAACCTGAGCAGGTACCTACACGCCTGCACTTTTTTTGATACGGACCATGTAGCATAATCACTCAAAGGCACTCAAGCTCTACAATCTGGTTTTAGTTTGTTTATTGGTTTAAGTCTGTGTGGCCGCATTCCTGAAAGGTTTTTATATATGACGACTACAATGATGTGACTTGCAGGCACATCTAGATAAATTCTCATTCATTTTTTTATTATATACAAAAATAAATTAAGTCAAATTTTTGTGTATCATTAATTTATTAAGGCCCATACTTTAATAAATAAATATTAAAAGTAACTTTATTTTCCCAGAAATAACTTAACATAGGTGTAAAAGAAAAATGTGCAAATTTCTTTGTTAAACAAAGATCTCAAGATCTAAAAGGCGATGAAAAATTGTTTCACATTCCATGCCACTCTATATGGCATCCTCGCAGAGCCAAAGACGCTGTCTGCACAGAAGAATGGAAAGATGAAGCTAAGGAGCCATAGTAAGCATTTTACAGGTTAGACCATGTCAGTCAGAGGTGTTCAATCAGTGCCACGGAAGAAAAAAAGGTATGAGAAGGAAGAAGACCAGTTTGGAAACAACAAATTCAGGAGAGAGAAAAGAGGCGCTTTGTTTTTAATTCACGATAAGACAATTCACACAAACACCACAGAGTAGCTAAATGTGCTGATGTAAAATGTGCAATAGATAAATTGGCTTCTGATTGGCAAAACCAAGTCTTCAGTCCGCTCTTATTGATGTTTGAGTAGGAGTGTAAAGGTACGTTTACATTGAATTTAGCTGTAGAAGGACTGTTTCGTCATCTTACCTCCAGCACAGACAGATGCCTTCTCTCCCCGGCTCCGCCCGAGCAAACTTTGCTGATCTTTCTATTCTCCTTTCATCTCCCTGCAGTTACAGTTGTCGTACTCCTGGGCAGCTGTTGTCCCTTCCCCATCTTTCGTGTTCTGTTTTTGTAGTGGAAGTATCGGCTCTGCCACTGTGCTCCTCTGTTCCTCTGCTGGTAGTTTCTGTATCTAGCCCCAGCAAGCTGTAGCCTCTCCGTTACGGTGTTTTTTCCCCAGCAGGCTTTTCTGCTCTGCCTTCTCTCCCAGCTCTGATCTCCCACTGTGGTTCCTTAATTCCAGAGGGGGACACGGCTAGCAGCCTGGTCCCGCTTCTGTTATTTTCACTGCCGGTGTTCTCGCACTTTTTTCCCTCTGCTCAAGTCTGAGCTCCAGAATACCATCTCACCCAACCCTCTGTTTTCTGTGATTCATGCCCCATTGTAGAACAGCAGGGCCCTTAAATGGGTCACGGATAGGCGGAAGTACCGCTAAAAGCAACCTTCATCCAGACCCAGCCTCGAGAGGAGGTGGCTGTATTTCCCATACCGTGTCCGTCTCTGGGAATCTGGTGAACCTTGGAACGTAGGCAGCTTTTGAAGCTTTCTAAAGTTAAAAAAACACTGTCAGTCACTTTGGGAATCCATGTCACCCATGATGAGGTGAAACCAATGACTAGCAGACTCCATGATGGAGGAGACTTTTGCGTGCCTGGCGAATTGGCAAGGAAAGCAAAATAAGGCAAACCTATTGAAATTTTCGCAGGTTGATCTGACCCTTGAAAGAGAGGTGAGGTCTATGTTGACCGATATGGACAGACAAGCCAGTTTGTACCCAGTTATGCATATCAGTGATAGGTGGGTAGCTGTTTCCATACACCAGGACCACAATCCATCCAAGAACTCATCATCATTTAGATGAGACCTAGGTGAACAATCTTTTGCTCTTTTTTGTTGTTATGTTATAGATGAAACGTTAAGTCTGTTTTCATCTGGATAATAAGAACATGGCACACTTAATTGTGTAGTTTCCAATCAGCCAGTTAGGAGTAGTAATAGGTGTCTGCCCTCGTAATACTATTTAAAACTAAACACTTTTATCATAGCTTGCAGAGTATTGCATAATAAGTGCATCAGCCTCACGGTGGTTGAAGAGAGAATGAAAACAGATTTATTCTATTATAATTTGTATTGTCCAGACTCTCTGACTACATTTGTGTCATACTTCACCAGAAACACAGGCTGAGCTGAGCCTCTCCATGCTAAGCAGCACTGATGCAGTAGTTAATGCAAAAACAGACCTTACCAAGAACCATGTGGATATATACCGTAAGGTAGATTCATTAGGCCCACAAAGATAACATTTGTGTGATTAGTGTTGGATTTTCAATACTTTTACTTCACTTACTTTTTGAGCATTAAGAGAGGATGTGATGCAATAGCACTGCATTTGAGTCGAAGTGGGAAAACAAATAATGAACTTAAATATTAAGACATACACTTTGAAAATATCTCATGAGGACTGTTGAAATGTTGAGGAGCGATATGATACTGGAGCTATAATGCCCCTGAACAATCAGGATTCCAGAGATATGGACTTGTAGGTATTTCTAATAATCCTCAGCCCATTAAAAGGTAAAACTACTGTGTATGTTGAGCATGTTTGCCAAAAAGCTCGCCCACTAAGCTGACAGCGAGGCTTCACTGGGCTAATGGATAACACAGGATTACTTGGCTCCAGCCTTCAAATTAATCTCCCCATTGTTTGTGCCCCCGAACATGTTTACGGGAGGTTTCTTGGCCCTCATAAGCACGTGAGTCAAGCCTGCACAGCACATTAAACAGCTTCATGCACGTTGAAGAAAATCCCCCTTTACAATGCTCCACTGAGCCAGAGGTGTTCACATGTGGGCGGGTCTCCAGTTTAATTGGACAATAGAGGCGTTTATGGAAGCTGGTTTCATTTCATTCAAGAGCTCAGTCAATACGCTGTTGGCTCAGGCTCAGAGGTTTGTTTTTGCCTTCTCTAGTCACACTAAAAAATCCAAGCTAAGAAGTCATAGTTTATTCTTTTTTTTTTAAACTGACTATGATGGGCAAAAATGTTCAATACCCTCAAGAATGACCCAGAGTTTGTATATATGTATTTTGTTTCATGAAAGATATATTTCAAATGTACTTAATGAAAAAAATTTTAGATCGTCCAGCAATGTACAGATGTGTACCAAGTTAATGCAGTCTCTGAAAGGCTAAGGTTTTGAAGCTGTGGAAACTTGTTTTGCAACCTTTTGCATTAGACTGGATCTAAACAAAAAGTTAAACTTGGGTTCTAAATGATGGGTTTTAGATTTCCACTCTGGAAGCCAGAGCTCTTTATTAGTCTGCTATTCAGCAGTGGTGTAAAGTCTCTTCTGTGTAATGAGAGATTCCTGCGCAGCGGTACAGCAGCCAGGTACATGGATCGGAGGGATCATAAATGATAACTGCCCTCCTGCAAGACCTAATGTGTCCTCAGTCGTGTGTTTACATGTGTCTATCTTAAATGTGGTGCATTTAACTACCACTTGCAGAAATACAAGCGGAATCATATAATCTATAATGTGCATCAAGTGTTTTTGTTGTATTTAAGAATACTTTTTATTTGAGATAAAACTCCTGGATGTTGCCAGGTTACAGTTGAACATGGCCAAGAATGTAACTGCAGAGTTCTCTTTGGGGCATTTTCTGTTTTTTTTTTTTTTTCCTTTATGATCATGAGGAGCTTCGGTCTAACAGAACCTCTGCTCAGCAGTTAAAGTGATCTGATTCTAATTTTCTCTTCAGCATGACGTATGTGTTTTCAACACTCTACCTCTGGATATTTGTACAGAATGTTGGCTTGAGTTAATGAAATGTAAACTAGCTGCAGGATCTGGTCCCATGGCTTTAAAATGGATTTCAAACAGAGACGACTGAGGGTAGTTTGACCTGTTTCCTCAATAGGACTGAGCACAATTCAAACCATTCCGGGCCAGGATGGGGGTCAATAAAACTGTCAGCTGCTGACCTGATGGCTGATCTTTGAGTGATCGGGGCTCTTTCCATTTGCATCACTGACATTTTTTAACAGCTAGTGCATGCACTGCAAAAACTTTTGCGACTGATGTTTACAGGTGCTGGTCATAAAATTAGAATATCATGAAAAAGTAGATTGATTTCAGTAATTCCATTTAAAAAGTGAAACTTGTATATTATATTCATACATTACATACAAACTCATATATTTCAGATGTTTATTTTGTTTAATTTTGATGATTACAAATGACAACAAATGAAAATCTCAAATTCATCATATCAGAAAATTAGAATATTGTGAAAAGGTTCAAAATTGATGGCCCCTGGTGCCACACTCTAATCAGCTAATTAACTCAAACCACCTGCAAAAGCCTTTAAATGGTCTTTCAGTCTAGTTCTATAGGCTACACAATCATGGGGAAGACTGCTGACTTGACAGTTGTCCAAAAGACGACCATCGACACCTTGCACAAGGAGGGCAAGACACAAAAGGTCATCGCTAAAGAGGCTGGCTGTTCACAGAGCTCAGTGTCCAAGCACATTAATAGAGAGGCGAAGGGAAGGAAAAGATGTCGTCGAAAAAAGTGTACAAGCAAGAGAGATAACCGCACCCTGGAGAGGATTGTGAAACAAAACCCATTCAAAAATGTGGGGGAGATTCACAAAGAGTGGACTGCAGCTGGAGTGAGTGCTTCAAGAACCACCACACACAGACGTATGAAAGACATGGGTTTCTGCTGTCGCATTCCTTGTGTCAAGCCACTCTTGAACCACAGACAGCGTCAGAAGCGTCTTGCCTGGGCTAAAGAGAAACAGGACTGGACTGCTAGTGAGTGGTCCAAAGTCATGTTCTCTGATGAAAGTAAATTTTGCATTTCCTTTGGAAATCAAGGTCCCAGAGTCTGGAAGAAAAGAAGAGAGGCACTTCATCCACGTTGCTTGAAGTCCAGTGTAAAGTTTCCACAGTCAGTGATGGTTTGGGGTGCCATGTCATCTGCTGGTGTTGGTCCATTGTGTTTTCTGAGGTCCAGGGTCAACGCAGCCACATACCAGGAAGTTTTAGAGCACTTCATGCTTCCTGCAGCTGACCAACTTTTTGGAGATGCAGATTTCATTTTCCAACAGGAC